CTTAGACAAATCTATTGACAAGCAAGAAGTGTCGTCGTCCCCACTCAACGTCATAAAAAGAAGTCGAAGTCGAAGCCGGAGAAGAAGAAGAATGAGAATGGGAAGAAGAAGAGGAAGAGGAAGGAGGAGAATAAGAAGCTTCGAGACCCAGACAACGCATCAGGTGCGGCCAGTCACACTTTTCATGAAGCAGATTTGTGTCTGCCCTCCTGCATATAAATCAAAATAATTTTGTTTAGTCCTCTAATTTGCCCAGCAGGCAGGATACGATGGAAGAGAGCAGTAGAGGACAGCGCAGGACAGCACAGGCGGCAGGCAGCGGGCCAAATCATGAAAAGGACAAATGAAGTGAAATTTAAATGATTGCATACTTCTAGCCTTGCCTCCTACCCTCCCCATCGTTTGTGCGTTCTGTTGAACCACTTATTTTCACCTAATTGCACACTCGAACGAATTGTGTTTTCTGTTTTGTGTGAGGGGCGTGTTTTACACTTGAACTGCTCCAAAGGAGCAGAGGGGCCCAGCTCGTGAACAGTTCGAGTGTGAGTCTATTACGCAACAAAATAGCAAAATATTTGACCAAAAGTGCTGACGTTAGCCCCCCATGCTCGACTTTGTTTCACCGCCAGTTGATTAGCTAATATTTTGGCTTTCCGACATCGACACAATTGATGACGTTTACACGTTATATTAAGTTTCGATAGCTCAGCATAATCATTTCAAAGCAGATCCAAAGCAATTACTATAAAAGCGGTGTGAGTGCGATAACCGGAAATTGTCTCAGCAAACGGAACTAATTAAAAAGCAGCAAAGAGCTTTGGCTAGCTGTGCGACCCATGAACATTGAGGGGAGACGAAGGTGTTAGAAATGTAAAAAGCAAATTAATGGTCCTTCTAAAAGTGAAAGAGAGAGATCTAATTTATTCAAACAAATGTTAGCTAAGTTGAGAACTTTTAACCTTTTTCTAAATAAGTTTACTACAAGATTTTTATATTTTTTGGCACTTTAGTTGAGATATTATTTGCTGCATTTTAATTTTCATATTGTTATTTCGTTTACTAAATAATAAGAAGAATGTTAGCTGCAATATTGTCAAATAAAAATGCAAATTCCTTTTTACTACAAATTAACCAAAATAAATGCAATATATCATTAGGTGTATTACATTTCCCTCGAGTGGCAGAATGTTCAACACAATCAGAAATATCAATTGCCTCACACTTATAATGTGTTTCTCCTTGTTAAGTCGTTATTCGTATTGGTAGTCGTACTCTCAGTACGTTGCAGGATTGATTTTTATTGAATTTTCTCATGCACCGAATGCTTGGCTGTACTTTTTTTCCAGTGGTTTTGTTATTTTGCTATCGTCTAAATATTACATAGTCCAAATGCCAATTCATTAAACGATTCAGAACTAGAATGATATCAATAAAATTCAATTTTTTTTATATGTGCTGCATTCCACTTTTCAGCGAGTTCTTGCTTATCTCTATTAGACTCTAGGAGAATGATTTAAACTATACCTTTAAAATACCTTTTTATTTATAAAGCTCGCAAATGAATATTTTTTAAAAGCATCACTAAAATCTCAAGCCTAGCTGCAAAGGCAAAAATCGGTGTACAAAATTGCGCTTACACAATCATTTTTATTTATGAAAAATTCCATCTTGTAACATTCACTACAATCTCAAGATTGTATACCAAGTTATTGATTTCATTAATGTTTCTTTTCATGCAAGTAGCTGAAGATTTTTTTAAACTATACTTTTAAAATACCTTTTTATTTATAAAGCTCGCAAATGAATATTTTTTAAAATAATCTCAAGCCTAGCTGCAATGGCAAAAATCGGTGTACAAAATTGCGCTTACACAATCATTTTTATTTATGAAAAATTCCATCTTGTAACATTCACTACAATCTCAAGATTGTATACCAAGTTATTGATTTCATTAATGTTTCTTTTCATGCAAGTAGCTGAAGATTTTTTTTTTAAATTAATTCAAAATGTGTCAAGACATATAAAAAATTGACAAAGCATGAATCTCGTTTCTTTCATTAGCTTCATGCATTATTTTTTAGTAATAAGCCCTTCAGTTTTTGGTAAATCGACGTATTCTTGATATATTTTATATCTCTTTACCTCTCACACCCTTCAACACCGTCAATAAGTTAACAACATGAAGCAATCAATGTACAGTGCTTGTCAAACTGTAGAGGGGTATTATATGACGGCCATTGCAATCAAACAGGCATACCAGCAAGACATAAAGTCGCCCACTCTTCGGGCATGTGCTGAGACGCCGTCCCTATATAAATCCCCATTTGTGCAACTCTTTGCCAACAGGGACGCGACTGCATGTCCCGACATGTGCAGGAAATGCGTTTTTACCAAACACCCATACTCATCGTCCTCATCGTGTACTGGAGCTCGTCTCGTTTTGGGTTTACGGTTACGGTTTTTTGGTTATGCCGTGTGCCATGCTCCATGTTCTATGCGCCGTACCATAAATATTTAAATTGTGTGCCGCCACCACCGCCACCACCAACGTCACCAACGCTGCCTGTACTCGGTCCTGCCAACTCTTGCCGTAATACCTCCGGCTCCTACATTCGCGGCTGTTGTTGTTGCCGGCTGCCTGATTTTTTGACAGTTATCGATTCGCTGGCAGCGTCTTAGAGTCGGCAGCGTGCGAGCGGCTTTTTATCTTGCCGCCTTTCCTGTTGCCTGCCAGTAAGCCAGGCAACCAGCCAGCCAGCCAGCCAGCCTGCCTTGCAATTCATTTCCAGCTAAAATATGCATGCAAAGAAGCAGAGGCAGCCAAGAATGCCAACACAGTTGAGGAGGCATCATTACATTTGATACGCGCTGTCAAGTTTGTCGCCGTCTCCCTTTGCCCCGCCCCGCCCCGCACCGACATATTTGCAATATGTACAGTTATGCGGTGATGCCAGTTGGTGGCCATATTGTGCCGCATAAGCCTCATTTCCTTTTAGCCAGTTAAAAAGTTGTTTCCCTTTGTGCATGTTTAACTTTTCCTGCCGTTCGCTTTGATCAAAATGGCACACTTAAGAGTGGAGGGAATCAAGTCAAAATGAAATTTCCAAGTGCGAATTTGAAATTTGATGCTGTTGAATATAAGTTCATATCTTTTTAGACATGCATAACAGCCGGCAACAAGAGGAACTACAATAACAAAACTAAATTATAATGTTTTGAGTGTGCACTTAACAGCCAAAGGCCAAAATGTTTATGTTTGTGATATTATTTTGAAATTAATTAAACTACTCTTTAGATAGTTCAATATTTGATTTCATTTGCAATGGTGTCACGTCCACAATAGGCATCATAATTTGTATGCAAATAGATTTCACACATCTACACTCGTGACAATAACTATGCGTACACACTTGTTGTGAACAAATCCAAATATCAACAAAATCAACGCCACAGCATGCCTATGCAAAAGCGGCCGAAGTTAAAGTAATACTACTGTAGTTCAAGTTTAACAGTCGCCGCATACCTTCCCCTCAACACCACCTTCAAATCTAAGTTCTCACTCAGTTAGCATATTTGTCTATACTATTGAATATCAAAGAGAAACTGCCACTTCTCCTGAAGCGGATGATTCCTTATTAATAATATGAAATAAGTGCAGAAGAAAACTTACAGACACTTCAGAGCAAAGCCTTAAATCCAAATACGTCTTATGATTGTTACTGATTGGAGCATCGCAAAGATTTAAGCTTGGCTGTACTGAAAAAAACAGAGATATTTCCACTGAACGCGCTGGAACACCGGACAGCTGGCTCACAAAAAAAGACAGACATAAGCCAGTAGACTAGCCACTGCAACGACGTCATTTTTTCGGTCTTTTCATTTGAACAACATACTATAACACCGAGGTATACTCTTCGTAATCAAAAGTGATTATTTAATTATTAAAATCAACTTACAATCAACTTACATTATCTAAACAGGTAGAAAAAACAGTAATAAACAAATGATTGAAAATTGTAAAACAGCGCTGTTAATAAAATATTGTTAGGTTCTTCAACTACTGATATTCAAAGTAAAGCTCGTATCTTAAAATCTGGCTCTTTAAAATGTAATGCAATGCAAGGAAGCAAAGCCTTTCTTCTCTTCTCAAAAGGTTCAAAAAGTTTTTCAGAAAGGTTGTGAAAAGATTTTATTTTCTGTTTTTAATTTATATCTACTAAGTACTACATTTTTTATACTTTGTACCCGAAAGGATAAATAGAGTATCTTTCCGCAAAATATCTATGACACCATAAAGCATATACATATACTATATTCTTAATTAATATGACACGAGAGAGCTAGAACTTTCTAGATCTTCCGTTCTTCTTCTAACCCCTAGATTTCGGAGTCGACCAGGCTTAGACGGTAAGGCTCTTTCTTGTTAGTAAATGTTAAGTTTTTGGGTATCCAGAAATCACTTCTCCAGTTGTTGCCAAACTACATATATATATGTACATGAATGTTTGGTGGCAATGGCAATTGATCTAGACATCGTTTCATATTTATTTAGTATCTCTACAAAATATATATTTTTTTTTTAAATTCGTATCTATGAAATATGTTTCTTCTTTTATTTTACTTTCATAATAGAAATCTATAAATAATGTATGTAGAATGCACCTCCTTCAATTAAAATGTAGCCATTTAAATAATATAATGAAGAACCAAAACAAAAATATGGACTCTCACGCTTTATTTAATGCATATATTTATCATATAGAGTGTTTTTGGTGTACACTGACATGTAGGTAGTATATAAAATAGATTGTGAAATGTTTAATAACGAACATTTCATACTGATATCAACTAACAGCGATGAGTCAAGAGCATAGCCTCACACATTGCGTATGAGTAATGCCAATAAAGGGGGAAGAATCGATAGAAGCTTAGAGCTTTTTAATGCTGCAAGTTTCATTTAGCAGTGGTGCGATTAAATTAGTAAGCATTTGAAAGGTAACTCGTTTAGACGTGTTTTAAGAGTTCGCTTGGTTAAAAAAAAAAAAAGTACATAGCTATGCCACCACCGCACGATCATCACGGGCCGCCTCCGCGTCGCGGACCCATCATCAAGGTACAAATTGCTCCGCCATGGCCCAGACGTCATCACCATCCGCCACCACCACCGCCAGTTGTGGTGGTACAGCAACCGCCACCACCACCGCAAACTGTCTACTACGTCCCAGCCGCCACACAACCGCCGCCCCCACCACCAGGTGGTCACTACCACAACCCGCCGCCCTACTAGACCCTGGGCGAAGCGCAAAATAGCCGAACAATGAATTTAATTTACCAACATTTTAAATTTTAGTTAAATATTCTTATATGTACGCCTCAATTTTTGCCAACAATAAACCAATCGATTTTTATATATATTATACATACCTCATATCTAAATTCCAAACTTGCTCGGATCGCGCAGCTGTTGAAGCGCTCCTTATCTGAAAGATAAGGGCCTATCGCAGACACTTAGCTGATAGGCTTGACTGCACTTGTAGTTCCAACGATTTGTAAACAAATTTCCGAAGTTTTTGGCCCTCCAAGTCAAATCCCTAGAAAAATTACCACCTTCTACATAGCATATACACTAAAACGTGCTAAATATATTACTTATGAAAAAATCAATTATACTTGTAATTTAATGAATATACTATGTCTTTCTGAATTGTTTATAAAAAGTGGACAAACATATATCTCGTATAGTATAATTATCAACTTCTTTTAATCTAAAAAGAAAAACATTTAAAATAAAAGCAAAAAAAAAAATTGCTAAAGATATTTGTTTTAATCGCCAAATTTTAAAGTGGACCATTTGAAGATTATTTCATAAAAAAAATTGAATTGTCACATTTGAAAATTAGACTCACCAATTTTTTGGCAGTTTGTATTATTTATTATTAATATTGGGCTGAGTAGTTTTCTTGAAGCCTTTTGAATTTTTTCACCCGAAACTTAAAAAAAAATTAAATGTTTATACTTGTAGATTTGCATAGTATAAGAATATATATGTAAACATTAGCTTTGGGGGGGTTGTATGTTTAGATCCCAGTACCCTTATGTCGGTTTTGAAAGCAAAAACAATTTTGCATGTTTTGCGAAAACATTTGTTTGTGATTTGAAAAGAAAAATGCCAAATATTTTTGTTCGCATATGCATACGACTGTACGTAAAATGTCGGCAAAGCAAAACACTCTTTGTTTTCTGAATTACGTTCGCCCTAATTCGCTCAAAATGTGAATGGACTAACTAATTTACTAATTTTTATAAATTACCTGCCACTAAAGTGTAGTCAATATATGTATATGTTTATATAGTATATAATATAACCCGTACTATATATGTACTATAATCAAAAAAAAAAGTTGATTGAATAAGGCAGTGCGTGCAGCAGACGAAACATGATTGTTTTTTCTCATTTTAATACACGTACTATATACAATGTACTACTCGTGAATAAAATTTAATAATTATAACATGGGGATTCGTGCAACACTTACGCTTATCTTTGTTGAAAGTAATTATTGACAAAAATGCTATCATGAACAAATAAGTTATTATTTTGTTGTATCAATCGCAAATTTGATTATGTTTTATAATTTGTTAAGCATATTAAATAAGTTGCAGGAATCTCCTTGTACTACTACAGAAGTATGATGACAAAAATTTGGAATGTTCTTGAAAGAATGTTTAAGAACAAAAGCAGCGTTAGAATTGTCAGCTCTGCCTTCTCTGCATGGTTTGGTGATTAGTTAGCAAGTGGGCGTCATTAAAACCACTTTGGATATTTAAAATGTTTTGCTTAATGGAATGCGGAAAGTAATACGTTTTGGGGAAAAAGAATTGTAAATCAATAGCAAAGAACAGGTGTGTAATAAAAATAAAAGGAGCAAAAATAATTAATTTAAGCGGTAAGTTGCAACGTAAATTTTTTCGCACTATCATACACGTATACTTATGTCTGTATGTACATACATATGTATATACATACATACATACATATATTGCCTACATATCTATGCAAAAAGATGAATGAGGAATTAAACAGTAAGTGAGACTATTTTTAACTAATTTAAAAGACTGGCAATTAGTATTTTCGAATGACTATTTTAATAAGAAAAGCAACATCAACAACGCAGGCTTCAATCTAGTCGCGATAATTTTCTGTAAATGATTAGCAAATGATTTTATTGTATTATAGGAAACCGAAATATCCGTTAAACGGATATTTCTGCTCACACACAGCCACGCATAAACATAGGTGCAGAGTGTTTCAAAGTCGAGGCACCAGACTTTAGCTTTTCCACTTGTTTTTATAATCTTTGCAGGTACATTTTATGATAAAGATAATTGTGCAAATGAAGCTAACATATTGAAAACTTTAACGCATAAAAATAATATGAAAGCAGCCACAAGGTCTGAGCAGGTCAGCAAGCATACTAATAAAAAATAAATTGATTATTGCAGCTGAATCTTTTGCGGATTTTGGATCAGAGCACAATTAGGTAGAAAAGTCGAATGAAAGCACAGCTGTGCCGCAGACAAAGCAAAAACGCCTTAGCAGTAAGAACCAAAAATTATAACATTACATGAATTACATTAAAAAATTTAATGTTTTTTCCCAAAGAAAAAGTTCAAACATGAATTGATTTATTTTAATTTGTTTTATTAATTTTTGTTAATTTTATATACAGCATCTTCGTTTGGCAAGACACAACTCATTCGATTCTCGCCACGGGAGCGAAAAGAGATGGAAGTGGCTTTCGGTAATTTGGAATCATTAAAAAGATTACCTAGTTTAGCGGAGTGCATTAGTGTTATTGTTGCATCAAAATTAAAATTAAAATTAAATTAAATTAAAATTAAATATTGACATGTTGTCCAAGTTGCACAAATCAACAATTTGAAAAGATTATATAATCTTTGGCTAATGTTGCGGATAATCCCTTCCGTGTTTTCTAATATATTCAATCAAGCATATGAAATCAAGTATGTTTCCAAAAACATTTTGTTGTTAGAATGATATGAAAACAAACTTTAAAATGGTTTAAAAAATGTTGTTCTTTAAAATAAAAATATATTTATATATAGATGTAGTTATTTTTGGAATAATTAAATTGCAAATATTAATTTTAAATATATATTTATTATATTAAAATACTTCTAAGCTAAGAGTTTAGTGAATAAGCTATGAAAAATAAAAGAATTTGGCAAACCATTGATACATCTACGCAACAAAAGCTCATTTACCTTGCTTTTAAGAGGAACTAAAACTATAATTCTTAGTTGTTGATGGGCACTATTTTCATCAACCAGTGGTATATATAAGCTTATGGATCGGGACACTTAAGTTTTCTAATTAACTAAATCCACTAAATGAAATTGTTAATATAGACAGAGGAAATTCCTGTTACTCTTTAATAAAATCATGCAAATATAAACAAATTCTTGTTTTACGAAAGTCAGATACATAACACGTCCAGAAGTTGACCAAACATCTAAATTCGTAAGTGGATAAGCAGGCTTTACTGTATTTTTGCTTGTGGTTTTTCATATTCACACGCAATTATTTATTTATTTATTTTCCGTAATGCTACATGTTCGCTCATAGACTATGAGTAACCTCAACCTTATGTCGATTGCTCGCTTATCAGGCCACTGGAATAGATAGGCACATAGGCGTAGGATTTGATTGAAGACAACATTGCTGGACTGGAAATGAAATTGAAACCCGTATAGATAGTTAAATGCGACGCAGTTAGCGTGTGGTGTGCTTCAGGCACAGACGTTAGTAGTTCGCATTTTTATTGCCAAGCCATCATGCGTGTTTATTATGAGAATTCATTTGGCTATCGTCCTCGCCATTGCCATCGTCGTCCAGGTCTCGAGATTGATTTTGTCGCCGGCTATGGTGGCGCATACTATCAAGCGCCGGCTCCTAGGACTGAAGTCGTAGTCGTAAACCCACCCAACAACTATGCTGCTCCAGTTCCTCAGGTGATGCCCCAACCCTATGGAGCGCCTCCAGGTGTGGTCTACCAGCAGGGCTATCAGTATCAGCAGTATCAACAGCACTATAACAATCCACCCTATCCCAGATGGTAGACAAATGGGCTCTCAGGCCAATGAGTGCGCTTAGAAATAATCAATAAATATTTATTTTCAACAGCATTTCTATATGTAAATAAGCATTGTAACGATATCAATTGTATATGTTTAAAAGAGTATCAAATAAAATTTATATAATCAGGGTTCAGGGAAATCTGCAATGTCTTTATTAATGGAAAAGGAACTCAACAGATTGCATTTAGAAAATGCCATTACCATGACAGATATATTATGCTTAAGCAGCTATTTTAACAGCAATTGATCAGACAACATACTAATTATTTTCCGCTCTAATTTTGGCTGAACTAGAGTATTCATTAGTATTCCAACTATCTTTTTAATTTCATTTCAATGCATTGAATTGAATGGAATACAAATTCTACAGAAAGATGATTTAAGTTGTTCGCATTTTTGAAATAGTTTTTAAGTTTCAAACAAATATTCATTGATTTCAAATGGCTAATGGCGATTTAATTGCGCTTCGAGTGTTTTGGCATTGCACTTAACTTTGTGACGTAACAAAAATGTTATCGAAGATCTGCTTTTTGCAAGTTTAGGGGATTTTATTGGCATGACTCATTGCATAAAGACAATGAAGTTGCAAGTAAAATCCACAAGAACAACAATAGCCTGCACCTGATACTCCACCCTCTAGCCTCGCACTCTGCCTCTTATTGGAAATATTTTATCTGTTATCGACTATCGAACACTTTTTAAGCGCCTGCCAAGATAAAACTAAGCTACTCAATCACCCGGTTTCAGCAAAAATACCCAAAACAAGTGACCGACAACACAGGTGTCGGGCCTTAAATAGTTAACGATGCCAGGCATAAGACATCAGTGCAGACCAAGCGCGGCAAAAGCCAACAACGAACCGCTTGGATATCTAAAATCGAAACATATATTACGAAAGTTTTCAACATGCCGATCTATATCGAAGAGGAGCGCAACCGTCATCACCACCACCATCATCATCATGGAGGCCCCATTGTGGAGGTGGACATTGTTCCGCCGCGCATACCCCGCCCCGTGATTGAGATTGACGTGGGTGGACGTCGTCCACCTCCAGCACCCATCGTCGAGGTAGTCACACCGGCTGCCGTCTATCAGCCACCCCCACGTCCCATTATCGAAGTGGTGCAGCCCCCTAGGCCACTCATTGAGGTCGACATTGGCGGCCGCCGCCGTCCACGTGAGGAGATCATTGTGGTGCAACAGCCCCCACCACCCAGGTGGTAGACTCCTGCTACGAACATGGATGTGGAGATGAACGTGACCGACCAGATTTACGGCCCTTAATGTGCGACTGACAGTTAATTGAATTCTGTTTCAAATGTTCGTTAAATATGTTAAATGCATTTTATTTTAATTGAAATTACATTTCAATGTTGAAGTTGAGCTGCAGAGCGAAAGATTTATTTATGTTAATGCCAGAAATATGAAAATTAAACTTCTTTTTTTCAAATGTTGTAAATAAATATCAATGGCATTTTGTAATCCTCGGCAATTATTGTCTGTTTGAGTGCGTGCAGAGATTTAGTTCGAAGGTCGCTGAACTCGATTAAGTTCACTGTTAAAAAACATGTACTATTATTTATTTTAATTTCACATTTTTATGCCAATTCGATCAACTTTTATTGCTGAAATTGGAGCATATGGGGGGTATATACTTGCATATCAGGTATTTTCTGTAATAATTGTTAATAAGACTGTAATATACGAGTATGAGCTAAGTTTCCCATAACGAGCAGTTATGGAGGCTCTCCGGACGGACAAATGCCTAAATCGCCACTAGACTGTGCATATACATACCTGTCTACATACATTCTTCTTACAGTATAGCCTCTTATCGTTTGGATATATCTTCCAAATCTAAATAAAGGTGTTTGTTCTTTTAATAATCGACTTAAAAAAAGGAGGAGGATCTCAATTCGACTATATTTTTTTTTAATGTTTGGTACCTCTGAACTTTCAATTGGGTGAACCGATTCTGATGATTTTTATACCCTGTACCCAAAGGGTACAAGGGTATATTAGTTTAGTGCGAGTGCACATGGAACACACAGAAGGAGGCTTGGTAGACCCCACAAAGTATATATATTCTTGATCAGCATGACAAGCCGAGTCGATATAGCCATGTCCGTCTGTCCGTCTGTCTGTCCGTCTGTCTGCCCGTCTGTCTGTCCGTCTGTCTGTCTGTATGAACGCAAGGATCTCCGAAAGTATAAGAGCTATAATAACCAAACTTGGTATACAGATTCTCCTGAGACCGAGAAAGGACAAGTTTGTTCATTTTTTCTGATCCACCCCCCCACTCCCCCCCTATTAACGATTTTCTATAACTCCCGTAATTCTTGGAATTTTCAACTAAAATTTGATAGTCACATTAGGTTAGTAATAATATCCGTATACCAAGTTTCATTATGATAGAATGATCGGAGAGAAAGTTATAGCCCTATAACCAGGCCCAATGCACACATACATACATATGTACATGTACACAAACACGCATAAGGAACGATTCTGATGTAAATGTATCTATGCATGCATGGAATATTTTATATTTAATTTAGTTAATTAATTAAATTAATTTAGTTAATTAATTAAATTAAATTAATTAAATTAATTTTTTGTGGGGTGGTACAGGGTATTTCAGAGTTGAGCCTGCTCGACTTTAGCATTCCTTTCTTGTTTTTTATTTGAAAGCTGTCTCTTCCCATGCGGTCCCATTTAAATTTGATCCACTTCTGACATGAGAAAACCATATAAGTCTTAAGGATAAGGATATGCAAATACTGAATCAGGCATTAACTACGTTAATTTCCAATAACCATCTTTACAGAGATATACAGAGATATTTTGACAATTCAATCAAGATGATTTACACTGGATTAGCGACTGCTGCTTCTGTATTGATTGTATTAGATGCCAAGTCTCTTTCTTTTTTTTGTTGTTGTTAATATTTTAGTTGTAATACATGAATTATATAAATTATGGTCCTAACATTCCTACGAATTTTGTTTGATACTATTGACTGAGTGGGAATTTTTTAAAGTAGAATTTCTAAGTACTCCGATATGTTCAGAATTGCTCTGAAAGTTAACATTTTTCCTTTCCAATAGCCACTGCTTTGTGACTTTGTTAATTGTTGCTGGCAATTCGGAAAAGGTTAGGACGTTCAGTGCCGTCTATCTGTAAAAGGACAGATTAAAGTCAAAAAATCAAGCACACAAAATTTAAATTTAATTCCATACAATCATACTTGTATGTGGGATGTTCACAAATTTATTTAATACAATGGAACTATAAATGTTTTATTTACTTGTATTTAATGACAATGTCTAGCAGAAGGGCAAATAATATTATATATTATTGTTATTTGACTAGATTTCTCCTTCTTAGGCTTTTCTAGCTTATAAGAGGCTTTATATAATTTTATATATTTTCCTATGTCGACAATCAATGTTTGTTGACATAAATAGCTAAAAAATGATGAATTGTAATTTAAAAAATTATACGCTTTAGTTTACAGAATTAGAGTAATTGGCACTACACAGGCAGGTTTAATTATGCTGTTGAAGTATTTAGAATATAGCCAATATTTTTTGTGATAATAAGAAATACATTTTTAAAAAAAAAACTGAATCTTATTTCGTTCCCTCATCCTCTTGTGAACTCAATGTTAAACATGTGTGAGATTGTGGCCGCAACACGTCAATAAGTTGACAGCAGTTGGCAAAGGAGATTTAAAAAAGCAAGTTGACCAGCCCAATTAAAAACCATTAAAGATATAAAGTGAAGTTTTTCAACTACAGATGTTTGTTCTTAATTAGTAATTATTGGTTTTTATTTCTCCTTTTATATTGTTCTTGCTTAACAATCTGTCCGACTACATTGAGCAGTGAACCGAGATGGTGTTTCTGGCGCTCATTATATTCAACCAACCAATAGGATTTAGATATTAGATATTATTCTACTTTTATAGCCTTCTTTAATACTTACCTCACACATTTTCCTTTTATTGATTTTGTCTCTATTGCCCGATAAATAAGTAGTTCATCACCCCTTGACTTGCAGAACGACAAGGTTTTGTTCATTACACTTGGAAAAGACTCTAAGTCCACTACATTAGCCTGGGCTGAGTCTCAATTGCCTATGACTCAATAATGAAGCTAACAAATCTACACTAACTTATTAGCATACTTCGGTATACCGATGTACATATGAGTCATAGCTTCAAGATGCCCCCCATATTTTAGTTTGAGGCAACTTTCAAGGGCTTGCGAGCTTCTCTGGCCGATGAATCACGGCAACTTGATCCATCATTGTGTGATCGTAGTGCGATAAGATATCGATAGGCTTATGTCCTACACCATTTGCCCCATCAAAGTAATTTACGTTATAAATTAAGTGGCTCGTACCAAAAAGGCATTCAGTAACCGAACGTAAACGCATCGAACGAAACCGAAATCGACACCAAAAGCAAACAATTTTAATAATGGGCGACTATCAGATAAATGTGCACTGCGAATGTTACCATCGTCGTGGATTGCTCTACCTAGCCCGCCCCTGGGCGTGGGGGCGTCCCTGTCGTCGTTGCCGTCGCGGTCAAAACGTGATCGTCGTCACCCCCTCGGGGGCGCAACCTCATCTGACTACCGTACAAGCTGTTGCCCCGTTCCAAATGGTGACCCCAGCTCAGACCACCAGGCCGATGCCGATGCCGATGTCGATGCCGCCACCGGCGTATACTCAACAAGATGCCTTCGAGGTGATGCCTTCGGCCTTGCCGCCCAAATACAACAACGCCGTCGCCGCTCACTAAATGTTGTAATCAAAAATATGCAAATATGGAGAGTGTTGCACAGTAGTTTTGAGCCTGTGGGCTGACATTTAAATAAATAGCAATGCAAATGTAAAAATTGAAACTGTTAAAACTTTGATAAATTGCATGCAAACAAATGTGGCAAGTGTTTTAAATGCCACACTCGTATAAAACAAAAGGGCTAGCGGTGAATACAACAAATACAGACTCGTGCGGACTGCTTGTTAAATTAAAATTAATTGGCTACACTAATAGTGTTGCCAACTACTTTGCGCAATTAAAACAAATTGGACGTAACAGATACAAGCCAGACGTAGAGGTAGAGAAGAGAAGAGAAGAGACGAAACGAGACGAGACGAATGAGGAGCAAGCGTCTGGCTAACCAGGGACAGGTCCTTTCCCCCTCTCCAGAGTGTGCAGAGTCAGTGCATGTTGGTGTACTTTCCTGGCCACAATCTGCCCTTTGTGTGGATGTATGTGTATGTATGTGTGTGTGTGTTTGTGTGTGTGTGTGTGCGTGCAGCGGCGGTTGCCCTTTTCCCCTTTACGGTGGGGTTTAGTTGGTAGTTAGCATCATAAAACTTTTCCGCACGTCATAATTCATGTTAAACTCGTCGACCCCTTGCCCTCCACCTCCCCGCCAATACGGCTCTCACCTGCACACGGCAGTTGTGTGACCACCTCTACCTCATTCATTCATTTGCTCACTCACTCACACACTCATTCATTCATTATTAAAACAAAGCAACAAACACGAACACGGACACATGTAGAGACGGAGAGGCCAAGCAGCGAGCGATCCTAGAACTCAGCTTGTTTGGCTTGGCGCCTAAAGCTATACCCCTCACTGCGCCTTACCAGCTACATGCCCTCTGCTCCCTACACAGTACACTGTGCAAAAATTCTGTTTATTGCACTAAAACTGAACGTCGACAGTCCTATGCCTCCGATTTCAATCAGACTGCAAATTGTAATCAAAGGGCACAGAACTAATTAGGTAATGAATATATGTTTAAATGGTAGATCCAGCTTTGGAAAACCTACAAGTATGTTCCAAACGAATCCAACGAAATTTTAATTTATTTACAGCGTAAACAATTACAACAGCAATGGAAGGCCAATATATAGTATGCACGTTAAATATTGTATTATAAAGTAAACGGAACTTTCCGGTTAGTATTAATGGTAGCCCCATTTATAGCACCCTAGATGGCTTCAGTGTTTTGCAGAACTTAGTCAACTGGGAGGGTCAAGTTGGAAAACCTATGGCCACAACATCAATATTGATGAAGCAATTTCTGTGTTTCATATGGTTTTTCCTTTTCAGGATTAGTCTGAGTTTGTGGTTTTTACGCGATTTGTTCGATCAAAATTGACAGATGACCACATTTTTTTTATATAAAAACTATTTTTTTATTCCTTTTTACTCCACTTGGGAGTTTAGGGCTTCTACAAGTGTTTTCCATCTAACTGTATTTCTTTCTGGCCGCCTGTCTAGCAGTGTGTGGCCAATCCACATCCATTTCTTCTTCCTTATCTACGGATGAATTGGAGACTCACCAGTCAAGCTCTACAGGTCTGCATTATTCTGTTAGGCCAGAATATAGAGCATATAATTCTGAGGCATTTGTGTATAAATACCTGCAGCTGTTGGACCATTCTTTGTGTGGTCAGCCATAAATTCGTACTATGCTTTTTAACTTTTTGCAAAATGTGTCTTTGAAATACAACAATAAGATAGAAAATACAATAAAATAATATGCTAAAGGACATCCCTGTGCTTAAACAAATCGTTGTGTAAACTCCATAGCCGATCAAATTGAGGGCAAGGATAGCTAACGATTAACACTAGATCGACAGCTTAAGAGAGCAATCTTCATCTGCGATAAGTAGGCGGCGCATCTCTTGCGCTCTCACTAGGAAAACTTAGAGTTTCCTCCAGGGATACAGTATGTGACTGAAGGTGGGATATGGAAAACCAAGGCAAATCGACATAAATCAAAGCAATGACTCATGTCACATTCACAATTTTATTTAATTTTTGACACACATGAGAGTTTATAAACTGTGGTTTATCATTGGTATGCCTGAAAATTCGCTTAAATAGTTTGTGTTTAATTATTTTGCTCTGTGTTTTTATTTCGCAGTGCTGTTGCGCCTCATCAGGCGTCAATTTGTGTTGTTCTTATAAACAATGAAAACGATTTTCACAACAAGAATTACAGCAAGCAAGCAAGCAGCACAACTACAATGGCAGCTCCGAAAACAAGGTGTTTCCGACAATTTTTGCAAGGCAGCTTCGCGCTCCCATCCCCATCTCCCCATCTACCAATCCCTACAATTTGCATGCCGAAATGGCATATTTTTGCGGCAACATAGATGTGCGTCCTCGCCTTTCCCCCACAGCTCATGCCACTCCACCAACTGCCAGTGCAAGCCCAAAAATGTTGTTTGATGATTAGAGAACTTGGCCCGGTCTGTGTGTGTCTGTGTGTGTGTATGTGTGTGTAGGAGGCGCTTTCTTTTGTTTCGAGAGCCCCTGCAGCTATTGTCTGGCAATGTGTTGCTGCACTTTGAATGGCACGCCCCCTACAACCAACAGCCTGCAGCCTGCTTCCCAGAACCCGCAGGGCACCTGCTGAGTCCGACTTAGGACATGTGTGAGGAAGTTCGTCGTTCGCCATGATACGACGACGATATTATTTTCTAGGTTGCATTCTTTTGCGTTTTTTGCCTTTTATTTCCTCCTCTAGCCGGCCATTTTTAATTGTTCTTCCGGCAATTTTCACTCTATTATAAATTTATTTGTGTGCAAGGCACGCCATTTGCCATTTTGGCTCTTGTCGCCGTTTAGAGGGCGCCCTGCACCCACAATTGTAACATCCATTGCCACACCCAAGACTTTCTCATGCACACCGACGATTATTCTCAGTCCGATCATTGCAAATCATAGCCAAACTAAATTACATTATAGTAATAACTGCAGACAGACATAAATCTGTGTGTATGCCTGCCTGCCTGTCTGCCTGCCTGCCTGTCAGGTCTCAATCAACGTCGCCCATTCCCCAAACACAAATTTACAAATAGCTAAATTAACAACTGGCAAATTTTAAACAAAATCAAAAGGAAACCTTTGCCGGCAAAACCTCAAATGTGAACATTTCCAACGACACATTCTGAATGTGATTGTTGTTGTTATTACTGTTGCCACTGCTCATTGAGGCATCCACATACTACACTACACTATACTATACGTATGTATGTATGTACGTATTCGTATTCGTATAAAGCAACACACGCTCAGTGATTTTAAGGCCTTGTCTGGCTCTTTAGAATGCCGTCTCCGCTGGCTTTGGCATCAGATTCAGAGTCAGATTCAGCATCGACTTCATAGTTCAGCCCCAAATGCATGAAATGTCTATTTTAATCCGGAAATTAAATTCCATTTAGAAATTTCGGTATACAAAACGAGAGCGCCAAGGGTGAGTTAGCAATAGGAGCCTGAGAGTGTGGGCGGGTACAGTAAAACCTGCAATCTGCCGAGCAGTTAAACTGGAAAACATAGTTAAGGCCTTGTTGAGTTGTTTGATTGTTGTTAGTTAGTTAGATTAATCGCATTGACAGTTTTCTTCACATATATCTTATATATGATACGAATATATATATCACTGAACTAACAGGAGAACAAAATAGATTTTTGCTGATTGTTTTTTTTTTATGTTAACCATGATGTTAACCAGCTCGCCCGATCTATGTGCATATGTATCTGAATAATTTGTGTCTCAATGACTGTTTTAAGCAAGCAAGTGCAAGTCAGACTGGCAGGTGAAAATCAATGTGTCTCCTCATGCTGATCAATAATACTATATACTCATACATATGTGATCGCTTTTTAGTGGCACTTTTCAATCAGTTCTATTCTATTTTAAACCCCATTTTCATTTTTAATATTGACTTTGAGTAAAAAAATGAATTCCTGTTATTTGCTTCAAAATGAACGACCAACTAGCTAGGCTTGACAACTTAACTCGCGAATTATCTGCAGGAGAACCATTCCACATTAAAGATCTAGAACAGGTGTCAAATTTAAAAGCCTGATCCTGATATAAGCGCAGATTAAAAAAGCCATGAATGGGTTCTTCTACATATTATGAATAAAATTCTTAGCACAACTCTTCTTTCTCTATTGCTAAACGTTTTCTGTGAACGATTAACACCAGATAAACAACTTTTGATTACTTTTGTATTACTGGTATATATCTATATATAAGTTACTGCATTTATTGTTATTATGTTATTACTATATATCTGAAATAAATAATAAATTATGAAAATTATGTCTGAAATTAATATGAAAATTAATAAATTATCTCTGAAATTAATAATAAATTATGAAAAATTATATTATATTTTCAATTAATACACTGTGTTTCTTTATTTTAAATTTGTAAAATATAGTAGAACAACTATTCCTCACAATTTTGAAACATTACTTTTGTATATAACTGAAGGCTTACAATAAAATCTCAAAAGCAGTCCGATTGACTGTCATCCACTAGGTTGAAAACAATTTAATTTAATCTTCGGACTCCAATCGAATCAAGTGAATTTTCATTTGACTTTACAAGTATATGATTAATCGGTTCTCCAGAAACAAATCGACATCTAGCAAACATCAACCAAATCGATTCTGATTGCAAGTCTATCACTTTTTAATTGCTATCAGAAATGCTGGCCTTCCGTGTTTTTGCAACTTTCGAATTTCTAATCAAATTTGTTGTTTGATGTAATCTGTAATTTGTGGCATGGAGAATGCACTGTAGATGCCTCTGCTCCATTTGTGCTCGATCCGAGCAAACGGAGCATAAAAACGGGTTGGCATTGGCCAACTCTAGTTACCAGAAATTCCATACAATTAAAGCCTTTACATGTAAAATGCAGGCTTTGGAATTATTTGGCATGCACGTCAGCACTCAAGGTGACATCCGAAATCCGAGCCTAAAATCCATTTTTGTACGCCAGCCAATTTATTATCTGCTATGCCTAGCTGTGTGTTTGTGATTCTGAAATTCAGCTGCAGTTTTGTGGGAGGGGAGA